TGTACATGTGAGCTATATCCAAATCTGAACCGATCCTGACAAAATTTTAGGTACTTATTTCTGATCTCTATCTGATATCTGGTACCAATAATCATTGTTTTGGAGCGCATATTACGCATGTGAGGGACTTAAAATCCCAAATCGGATGAAACATATATATGGGAGTTATGGCTATATCTGAAGCGATTTTCACCAAATTGAAAGGTGCTTCGGCACTGAATTCGGTCGAATGTGCTAAATATTCAGGTTACTTGGACTGATATGGCCATTTGGTGCAGAATTAAGCCGACATCGATTGAAGATATACATGGGAGCTATATCTAAATTACGTCCTTGGGCCAATCAAATATTTTTTAAAAAATGTCATCTCAATCCATGGGTGTATCTCGCTTCCTTTTCCATGTTACAAACGAATGCACAAATACATAATACCCTTACCACTATGTGGTGTAGGGCATAAACACATTTTAGGGTCAAAGTCGTATTATGTGTGAATTTATGAAAAATACTCCTAAAAAGCATCATTTTTGAAGTTTGAATTCAAAGACAAAACTATTCTTCATAAAAATTCATTTTAATATAAATCGAAAAATATTCACATCACTGTTGTCACAAAAGTCCCGAAAATATTTTTCCAATTTTTTGATCAATTTTTCCTCGGAGTTTTTTTCGAGTTGCAGCCTGAAAGTATCGTAAAATTTCGTTTTAGGCAGAAAGTGTAAAAAGAAAAAAATATTCTACACAAAATGTCAGTATTAATCTTAGAATATATTATAAAATAACTAGGTTTAATATTTTTTAAGAAATTTATTATCGACTTTGCAAAAAAAAACCAGTAAGGAAAGCTCAAAAGTCGGGCGGGGCCGACTATATGATACCCTACACCACTATGCATATTTAGTAGAGCTCTCGTAAAAAGGTTTATACAGGGCATTTCAGAGCTCTATGAGATATTTGGTACAAAATCAAAATCTATCTAATTCTATCGTGCATTTTACGAACTTTAGCTATCTCTGAACCGGGTTTCTCCATATTTTACGTATTATCTTCTAGACTGGTGATTTGGGCTGATATTGACCATTTAGTGCACATTTAACCCGAAATCGGATGAAGATATATATGAGAGCTATATCCAAATCTGAACCGATTTCGATAAAATACCTGGTACCAAATATCACGGTTGTGGAGTGAATATTACGAATGTATGGGACTAAAACTCTAAATCGGATGAAACATATATATGGTTGCTATATCTATATCTGAACCGATTTTCACTAAATTTGATATACTTGCTTCTAGGCTGAATTTGGTCCGATGTACTAAAATTCAGTCCATTTGGACTTATATCGGCCATTTGGTGCACAATTAACCCGAAATCGGATGAAGATATATATGGGAGCTATATCCAAATCTGAACCGATTTCGATAAAATTACAAACAGCTATTTCTGGGCTGTATCTTTTATCTGGTACCAAATATCATTCTTGTGGAGTGCATATTACGAATGTGAGAGGCTTAAACACCAAATCGGATGAAAGATATATATGGGAGCTATAGCTATATCTGAACCGATTTTCTCCAAATTTGATATACTTGCTTCTAGGCCGAACTCGGTTGGGTGTGCCAAAATTCAGGTAATTTGGACTGATAGTGGACATTTGGTGCATATTTAACCGGAAATCGGATGAATATATATATGGGAGCTATAGCTGTTTCTGAACCGATTTTCTCCAAATTTGTTGTATTTGCTTTAAGGCTAATCTCGGTCACATGTGCCAAAATTCGGGCCATTTGGGCTGATATTGGCCATTTGGTGGTCAATTAACCCGAAATCGGATGAAGATATATATGGGAGCTATATCCAAATCTGAACCGATTTCGATAAAATTTAAAACAGCTATTTCTGTGCTCCATCTAATACCTGGTACCAAATATCACGGTTGTGGAGTGCATAGTAGGAATGTGAGGGACTTAAAGATCAAATCGGATGAAAGATATATATGGGAGCTATAGCTATATCTGAACCGATTTTCTCCAAATTTGATGTACTTGCTTCTAGGCCGAACTCGGTTGGGTGTGCCAAAATTCAGGTAATTTGGACTGATAGTGGATATTTGGTGCACATTTCAACCGAAATCGGATGAAGATATATATGGGAGCTATATCTAAATTTGATCCGATTCTCACCAATTTCAATAGGGTTCGTCCTTGGGCCAAAAAAATATTGTTTGGAAAATTTCATCTCAATCGGATAATAAATGCGACCTGCATTTTGTTCACAAGAATACATGGACAGACGGACGGACGGACAGACGGACTGACATGCATAAATCGACTCAGAAAGTGATTCTATGAAGGTTCTCAAAAGTAACTATGGGTCTATCTCGTTTCCTTCTCCATGTTACAAACAAATGCACAAAGACATAATACCCTTACCACTACGTGGTGTAGGGTATAAAAACAAAACAAATAATTTCGAAAGTGTTTCCCAATTTTTATCTTGGCCATTCTTTGAGTTAACGCCTAAAAGTAACATAAAATTTGGTTTTAGGCAGAAAGTATTAAGAAAGAAGAAATATTCTACACAACGTTTCACTATACATTTCAGAACAAACCATATCTCTTGGTAAAAAAGTTGTTAAGAAAATTATTATCAATTTGGTAAAAAAATAATATTTCCGAATTTATCTCGACTTCTCCTTGAGTTAAGGCCTGAAAGTAACATCAAATGTCGATTTAGGCAGAAAGTGTTAAAAGAAGAAATATTCTACACAAAATTTCACTGGTTATATTAGAGTAAATTATATATCTAGGTTTAATAGTTTTAAAAAAAATATATATTCAAAATTAAAATATTACAGTTAAAATGATATCTTCTCTTTTTTACTGTAAAATAAACATTTATCCAATCCGAGTCAAAATTTTCTTTTATACTTCATTTTTTTGAGAAAGTGTCAAAGTAGGAATTTTTCTAAATCAAATTTTATTGTGAGTCTCTGAACAATACATTTTATATTTTCCACAAATTTTATCACTTTTTCCGAATTCGCATCAAATTTTTTATATAATTTCAGTGTTCATTAGCCAGTCTGGGTTGAGGAAAATTCTAAGTATATTTGACAGTACCCGGCTTGTAGATAAAAACATAAAAAATCGGGTTCTTAGGCCAAAAATATTCAAGTCATTTATATGACCTTGACCACATGCAAAGGGACCTAAATATTTTGAAATATTTCTCACAAAATGAAATGAATAAAAGTCAATAGAGAGCTTTAGATTTCTTCAAGTATGTTTTGAAATGGACATTTCAGGTCCACCTTTGGTTGTAGTTCCTGTTTAAGGGAACAGAAACAAAATAGCTACCCGGTCGTAATGGAAGGCTCTTTTGTGAAACCCTTATTAAATAAGTTTTTTTTGTTTTAATTTTACATTCTTGCCAAAAACCATACCCTCAAAACTTTGGAAACTCTCGCCGAACTCTCTCCCCTTCCAAAACCAACAATATTTTAGAAACTCTTTAAAAAAACTGCCAACTTTCCAAAGCAATACCAATTTTTAGAAAATATTTCTTTTTCGTTTCATTTTGACCTTTTGACCATATGTTATGTTATGGTTTGTTTGTTTGCATTGTGGTTAATTTTACATTTTATATTTCAAACAAAATATGGAAAAAGGGCTAACCACAGGCAGCTCCCCTTTTTTCCCAAAAAATAAGACTAGCACACATACACACACTTAAAATAATATCAAAGAAAAACAAAATTAAAGGTTTTGTTGGAAGAACCAAACCTTTATTCATTCATCAGCAAAAATTGTAATCAGTTTAGTAGTGGTGTTGCTGGTTTCAGAGAATACAATAACCACAACAGCAGCAACAATGACAACAAAGTTTCACTCCCATTCAATGGATGACACAATGACAACATTTCAATAAATTAGAAAAAAAGGCACGAAAATATCGAAGGAAAATTTGTCTAAAAAAATGGGCACAGAGGTAATAGGATTGCGGTCAAGGAGCGGAAATATTAAATTGGGATTTTAAAAGAGACCCTCTTCGATGGAATTAATGAAAATTGAAGTATTTAAAATTTAGTTAATTATTTTTTTATACTTTAAAGATAATTTGAGTTGATTGAAATGGAGTATAGAACTATGACCTAATCAGAGTCCATTTCTGAGAGATTTTTAAAATGTAATTTTCATATTTTAGTTTAGTGCAAAAGAAAATTTTTTTCACATAAGATCAACAATTTTTTAATTTTTTTCAAAATTGGTTTTTCGATGTCGCTCGATTATGAGAGAGAATGTGTGAAAAATTCCTATGAATGATTGGTTAAAATTATTATTAATTTAAACATTGAATATGGGAAATTAGCTGCCATACGAGATGATAATAGTGCGAGCTTCAAGTGGCAATACCGAATATAGGGAGATATTTAAGATAACGTAAACCTGTGTAAGCTGACCTTCAAAAAAACTCGCTCGAATTTGAAAAAAGAGTGAAACTCACTTGAATTCAGGCGGATGCCCTCCTGCTCCTCTCTTCCATCTCCACTATTCCCTCTTCTACATAACACAACAACATCGAAATTACAGCAAACATCTTCCCCTCAATTTCACTCTCAGAGCAAACTCTTGTTCTTTTTTCAGCGAATCTGCTCCCACTCTAATTTTTCAAACAGAAGTGAATGGGAGCGCTGCCTCACAAACGAAAAAAAGTGACGAATAGATTTTGTAAAAAACTCCCACTCTTTGAGCAATCCTGCATGTTTCGATCCCGAGTAAAAACGACGTTTTCGTATAGACTTCATATAACACTACCACCCAATATATGGTATTTAAAAAATTTCACCGATTTTTTTTTTAATGCTGCAAGTTTCTCTTAATTGTTGTAGTGTATTCAAAATTCGGCTCGGTTGATTTTTACTTAATAATTTTCCTCAATAGATGACTAATTCCACACATCACTAAATTGTAACCTCTAATTGTGTTAATTTCAGATTGCTTTTCCTACGAAGCTGCTGACAAATGCGATTCTATAAATGGAACTTTTTATCTGAGGGAGTGTTACAATGCCACCTATGCTGAGGAGCATAATATTACCGAATTGGCATTGCATGCTTTGAAAAAGCCACCAGCGGAGGAGTATTTTACGTAAGTTGCAATAAAAAGTTGAAACAAGTAATATTAAAAATTATTGCTTATTATTTCTCCCCCATTTAAACATAGGAACTATGTTCTCGGCTTGTCATCGGGCATCGAAGAAACGGGAGCCATCAAAATTTCACTGGCCGCTTGTTTATTTTGTGCCTGGACCATTGTGTTCCTGTGCCTCTGCAAAGGTGTACAATCATCGGGTAAGGTGGTTTATTTTACCGCCCTCTTCCCGTATGTGGTCTTGGTTATATTGTTTTTCCGTGGTGTCACATTGCCGGGTGCCGGAACGGGTATATTATTTTATCTAACACCGGATTTCAATCAGTTGGCTAATGCTCAGGTGAGATGGAAAAATAATGAAATGTTTACTAATTTTGTGAAATTTAAAAATATATTTTTACAGGTTTGGGGCGATGCTGCAGTACAAATCTTCTTTGCCTTAAGTCCAGCTTGGGGTGGCCTAATTACATTGTCGTCGTATAATAAATTTTCAAATAATTGTTACAAGTAAGTGTGTTTAATATTCATAGAAATCGATTGCGGAATCTATATCTAAAAAATTTTAAGATTAATATTAAGAGCAGGATAGATGTACCAAAGCGCATTTTGAAATTCAACCATTAAGATTACGAAAATATCTAAAACGGTAATAAACTTCTAAAATGGTACCATTTGGTATTATGTGAATAGATAGAGCTAGGTAAGTTGGTACGAGAATTAAAGTTGGAAAATAAGTTTGATACATGAAGGTGGTTTTAGAAATGTGTTCTAAGCGCGCGAACTGCACTGAATGGTACTATATTTAGAACATTTTGGTGTAGGTTAAACGGATGAAGCTGGAATTTTGAAAATTTGTATTTGGGTCCCTCTTGATGGTATATTTGTGATAAAGAGGTGGCTGTGGAAATGTGTACTACAAGTACACGAAAAGTCCTAAAGAGTACAATATTTGGTATAATATGGTGTTGGGTGAAGAGATAGTGCTTAAAATCTGAAATTTGGTATTAGGGTCGATGTTCAAGTGTAGCTTTGTTATGGAGAAGGTTTCGAAAATGTGTACTATAAATGTGCGAAAAGTACTGAATGGTACTATATTTGGAAGGAATAGAGCTAATATCTTGAAAATCGATATTTCGTATATTTGTACGAAATGTACTAAATTGTACTAAATTTGGTTTTGGGTATATGGCTGATATCCTGATAATTGATATTTCGATTGCTGATGGTATCTGTATTTTAGATTTGGCGGTTTTTTGGAAATGCGTCCTATATTTGCACGAAAAGTACTAAACGGTACTATATTTGGTATTGGGTGAAAGAATAGAGCTGATATCCTGAAATTTAATATTTCAACTCCTAATGATATCTGTATTTGAGATTTGGCGGTAGATTGGAAATGTGTCCTATATTTTTACGAAAAGTACTAAATGGTACTAAATTCGGTATTGGGTGAGGGGATAGGGCTGGAATTCTAAAAATTGATTACATATCACTGTTAGTGTCTATGGTTAATTTATGGAGGTGGTCTTGGAAACACGTCCTATATTTGTAAGAAAGGTACTAAATAGTAAAAAATTTGGTAAAGGGTTAAGGGATAGGGCTGCAATCCTCAAATTTGATATTGTGGTCTCTATTGGTATCTCGAATTGAGATATGGAGGTGATTTTGGAAATGTGTACTATAATTGTACGAAAAGTGATAAATGGTACTACATTTGGTATTGGCGGAAGAGCTAGAGCTGAAATTTGATATTGAGCTTGTATTGGTGATTGGTTTCTAGGCTTTACATATAAAGACGTTGAAATAGTTTTGGATTGAAAAATTGGATGTGGATAAATTGTGCAATTGTTCTACAAATAAAATTCGAAATGAAAGATTCTGAAGATGTTTTGGTGTAAAAGGTTACAATTTCCCTAATATTCTTTTCGAAAAGTGAAAAACTTGAATATTATATAAAACCGATTTTGACCAAAATTTGGAGTACTTGCTTCTAGGCTGAATTCCGTCGGAAGTGCCAAAATTCACTCCATTTGGGATATGGGAGCAATAAAGATATATATTGGAGCTATATCCAAACCTGAACCGATCTTGAGCTGTATCTGAGCTGTATTTGATACCAAAGAGCAATTACGCATGTGAGGGACTTAAAGCCCTAAATCGGATGAAACGTATATGTATATGGGAGCTATAGCAGTATCTGAACCAAATTTGGAGCACTTGCTTCTAGACTGAATTTGGTCTGATGTGCCAAAATTCAGGTCAATTAGACTGACATTGGCCATTTGGTGCAAAATTAACCCAAAATCGGTTAAAAATATATATGGAAGCTATATCCAAATCTGTATCGATCTTGAAAAATTTAGCAGACGTATTTCTTTGCTGTATCTGTTATCTCGTAAAAAATATCGTTCTTGCGGAGCTATAGCTATATCTGAACCGATTTTCATTTCCAAATTTGATATATTTGATTCTAAACTGAATTTGGTCGGTTGTGCTAAAATTCAGGTCTCTGGACTGATATTGACCATTTGGTGCGCAATTAACCCGAAATCGGTTGAAGAGCTATATCTAAATTTGAACCGATTCTCACCAATTTCAGTAGGGTCAGTTCTTGGGCTAAACAAATATTGTTTGGAATATTTCATCTTAATCGGATAATAAATGCGACATGTATTTTGTTCACAAAAATACATGGACCGTCGGACAGACGGACTGATATGCATAAATCTACTCAGAAAGTGATTCTATGAAGATCCTCAAAAGTAACTATGGGTCTACCTCGCTTCCATCTCCATGTTACAAATAAATGCACAAAGACATAATACCCTTACCACTATGTGGTGTAGGGTATAAAAAGGCCTAGCACGAACTGTCGGAACGAATCTAAAATTTAAAGGTGGCAGCAGATAGATTCTTAGATCGGATATTTTTTGACGAATCTGGAGACAAAACTTTTAATGTTAAAATAAAGAATTTGCACCATTTAATATTACTTGGTTCGCCACATTCGAAAGATTAAAAAATCGATTTCGAAAAGTCTACTTTGATTTTGAAAGGGTATACCGGAGATCTTTTTCCACTTAGCTGGATATATATATCCTAGAATTTTAATAAGAATAATCCTTAAAAAAATGTCTCCCATAACATTACTCTTTCAGGGATTCCCTAATTGTGGCCTTTTGTAATATAGCCACCTCGTTCTTTGCTGGCTTAGTTATATTTTCAATTATTGGATTTTTGGCCCACGAATTAGATGTGGAAGTGGAGAAAGTTGTGGATCAAGGTGCCGGCTTGGCCTTCATAGTCTATCCGGAGGTGGTTACACGTCTACCCATTTCGCCCGTGTGGTCTGTGCTATTTTTTGTCATGCTATTAACCCTGGGCTTGGACTCACAGGTAAGTTTCACAATCAACCCTTAATTTAACTTTCCATTTTATATTAATTTCTTATCCCTCTCTCTCCCTCTCCTTAGTTCGCTCTGATGGAAACTGTTACAACTGCCATTTTGGATAAATTTCCAAATTTAAGACAATACAAAACATGGGTTGTACTATTTGTTGGGATATTCGGTTATGTTGGCGGTCTCGGCTTTACCACAAATGTAAGTTGGAGATTGGAGTCTAAAAAGGGTTTATTTTAATATTTTCTCTTTTTCTCATTTTTTATAGAGCGGTATGTATTGGCTGCAGCTGATGGACAAATATGCCGCCAATTGGTCTGTCCTATTGATAGCCATCTCAGAATGTGTTCTCATTGCCTGGATTTATGGTTCACAGAATTTCTTAAATGATATCCAGGGTATGATTGGTAAACGCTCGAAAATGTGGAACTACTTTTGGTCGGGTATGTGGCGTTTTATAACACCGGCAACATTATTGGTAAGTTGAAGCTTAGAAATTCAATGTTGAAGTCATTTGTTTCTTTTTCTCAAAAAATTGAATTCTCAAGGCAAGGGCTCCAATATACTGATGAGATTTTTTCTCAAAACCAACAACACCCGGCTTATCCTCCATTCCTGTTTTTTTCTCTTCCAGTTCATTTTATTCTTCAATTGGGTTGAATACAAACCAGCCTCCTATGGCCAGTATGTCTATCCGCTGTGGGCCGATGCAGTTGGTTGGGTAATTGGTTTGCTGCCAGTATTGGTTATCTTTTTGGTGGCCTTTAAACAAATCTACAATGGTCCCGAACATTTGGGTGTCAAAGATCGCATTGCGTTTTTGTTGAAACCCACAGAAGAATGGGGTCCGGCGGGAAGACCCTGTCTCTATCCAGATCGTTATCAAAATGAAAATACGGCCAGTCTAATGGAGGGAGCTATAGCGGAGGTGTTGCCCTTCGAAGATAATGGCACCACTTTTGGGGCTGGCAGTAATCGAGGAGCTGGCGGTGATGGTGGTAGCATTGGTATTGGCAGTCAAAAGGAAGCAATGCAGCTCTGAGAGCGAGCTATGGCATCGACTTCGACATTTGCCCCCAAGCAAATGACTGATGATACCGGTGCTATTACCATGACCACAGCAACTTCGAATGTCAATGGCAGAAATGAGCGCAAGGAGGCAAATGGAAATGTAAGTTAGACATTTTAAAATAAAGATTTCTGATTAATTAGTTTTTTTTTTTTTCAGAAAATGGATCCCGGTCCCATGGTGGCCATAAAAACGGCCCCGGCCAACACATGTCAACCGGGACCCAGCATATTGAAATCAAAAGGGGGCAAACCCTCAGATAGTGTAGGCAGTGTGGGTGGAAAACCTCCACCTGAAATAAGTCCCAGTAAACAGCCTTTGATCCAGGCCGAACTGCGGGCCAACGATAGTGTGGTGTCTTTCCTCAACGAAAAGACCACTCCACTGGCCACCGAAACCATTAGCGATAAAATAACCAAAGTAACTGCCACAATAGTATTGCCCACAACGGCGGCAACATCGATAACAACACAATCGAAAATCTTAATACCAACAACAACAACGAGCACTGCAGCCAAACTGGTGGTGGCCGGTACAGCTGACAGTGGTCGCGAGCTTAAGACCTTAACCACTTTTGCCACAACAACTGCCAAGCCAACGATCAGCGATATCGTGAATACCAAGGCATCCACTGGAGGTGGTGTTGGTGGCAGTGGTACAACAACAACGATGGTCACCCAGGTGATCAATGGTGGTGTGGTGGCAACCCCGACCACCTCCTTTGCTGTGACCATGGTGCCAATGGTAACAACTACAACCACAAAGCCGGTGGCCAGCGCAGGCATTGCCACAACCAGCGTTACTGCAAGCGCAGCAAAACCAATAACTGCCACCGCTTCGACGATAACAAAACCGACGGTGGTAAAAACTGACCCCGGTGGCGGCAGTAAAATTCAAACGCAGGTTGTATCTACAACCGATTTAAGCCTTACAACGACAACCAAATCAGCGGCTGTGGCTAATTGTGTAACCAAACCTCTGCAGGCGACCGCTGTCGGAGGCAAAACCAGTGATTCAACCAACAAAAGTGCTGCCATTAAAACTACGAAAACTTCCACCACCAGCGTTGTCACTACGCCAACTACAATACCAGCTACATTAGCTACAACCCCGATGGCGGTGAGTAATAATAAATTACCGTTAAGTGCTACAACGCCACCAAAAGGCCAGGATGCCCCATCAACGGCGGCGGCCACATCTTTAAAATCAACAATGGTGGTGTCCAGTAGTTCAGGTCGGCCCACAACTTTGGTTGACTCTACGAAAACACAGGTTCCCCTGACATCTTCACCTGCTGGAAAAAGCATGACTCCCACATCTTTGGGTAAGACGCCAACTGGAAAAGCTTCCTCAACAAATGTGGAGAGTGGCAAATCTTCAACACCGGCAGCTGCAGCAACGCCATCTACAAAAGTGACTTCCACATTAGCAAGTACAACAACCTCTGCATCAATCACTAGCCAAGCTAAGACATCGGCTGCCCCCACAACAGTGGCACCTACAAAGCCAACTTCATCAGTAGCTACAACTACCACAAAACCCCAATCCACAGGTAAGTCGACAACAGCGCCATCTTCCGCCAAACCACAAACAACAGCCACAGCATCTTCCACAACCGCCGCTGCAACACCTGCCACATCCAGTAGCAAGGCCAGCTCATCGGTTACCGTATCTCAGACACAACCAGCAACGCAAAAATCCGCTACCACAGTTTCTGAAAAAATATCAGCCACCAAACCCATAGCCACCACAACTACAACTCCACCACAGAGTTCGGCAAAAGCAACGACTTCTCAATCTACCACAGCCAGCATCACAGCTCCAGCCGGAGCAGCAGCGCCAGCTGTTGTCAAACCAGCACCCACAAAAATTGCCAAAACTTCGGTGGTAACATCCAATGACAAACCCATTTCAACAACAACAATACAGAAACCAACAACATTTTCTACAACCCTAACCAAAGCTACAACCACAAATGTCACCACCAGCCCGGCTACAAGTGGTGGTACATCTACGACACCTGCCACAACTGCAATCACAAAGACCACTACTTCCACAACATCTGCTCCCAAGACAACAGCAACGACATCTGCAGCAGCAACCACAAAATCTCAAACCACAGCCAAAACGCCAACAACCACAAACAGTGCTGCAACAGCTAAGACAACAACAACAGCAACCACAAGCTCTACTACAACAGCGCCAAAACTATCCAGCAACAGCACAGGATCCACAACATCAGCAAAAACTTCAACATCAACCACCAGCAGCAGTGCAGCAGCGGCCACAAGCAAATCGTCAACTACAAAAAGCGCCACAACCCCCAGTGTTGCCACCTCTGTGGCAAAATCAAGCAAGTAGTTTTAAGTATAAAGTTTTCCGTATATCTACAACCCAAAAAACACCCCCCATAAAAATAGTGTTCTGTAAAAATTATTTAATTCGAATTGAATGGTGTCTACTGCAGTTATCAAAAAATAAGCCATTGTGGATCAGGAGGGTTTCACAGGGGGTTGATGTTATGAGGTTTGCACAAAATTTCTTGACCATTTTTCAAAAAGTTAGAGTTAGAGATGTTTCTATAAAGATCGATTATGACAACACTTTTCTGAAGTACTCGACCGTGTCATATTTCAAATAATATGACATATGCCACATATTCTACAAAAAATGATGAATAAATATTATTTTCGGCGCTCCTAGGCGAATAAAAACAGTTAAATGTTCCATATTTTAGGAAGACCAATTGTATTTATCTGGACTTAAGTTTAAAGTTATACAAATAGAGAAATGTCCAAAGTCCAGCCGAGTTTCACAAAATGGAAACATACGTCCCGAAATTCACTCCATTTAGGCTGATATTAGCCATTATTTACACAATAAACCCGAAATCGGATTAAGGATATATATCGGTGCTATATCCAAATCTTCGTCAATCTCCATAAAATTTGGCAAAGGTATTTCCGAGCTCTATAAGATGTCTGGTACCAAATATCATTATTGTCGAATGCATATTACGAATTTGAGAGGTTTGAATACCAAATCGGATGAAACATACATATGGGAGCTATAGCTATATCTGAAATTTTCACCAAATTTGATGTACTTGCTTCTAGACTGAATTTCGTTGGATGTGCCAAAATCCAGGTCATTTGGACTGATATTGGTAATTTGGTGCACCATTTGACCTGAAATCGGTTGAAGATATATTAGGGAACAATATCGGAATCTGAACCGATCCTGACGAAATTTGGGAAAGGTATTTCTGGGCTACATCTAATACCAAACATCATTGTTGTGGTGTACATATTACGAATGTGGGACTTAAAACCCTAATCGGATGAATCATATTTATGGGAGCTGAAGCTATATCTGAACCGATTTTCACCAAATTTAATGTACTTACTTCTAGACTAAATTTGGTCAGATGTGTCGAAATTCACATCATTTGGGCTGATATTAGATAAAGATATATTCTAATCTGATCTAATCTGGGAGCTTTATTCTAATCTGATCCTATTTCGATTAAATTTGACGGAGTTATTTTTGAGCTTCATAAGTTATCTGTTACCAATTATCATTCTTGAGGACTGTATATTACGCGTAAACATATATATGGGAACTATAAATTTGATGTACATATTTCTAGGCTGAATTCGGTCGGGTGTGCCAAAACCAGGTCATTTAGTCTGATATTGGCCATTTGGTGCACAATTAACCCGAAACCGGTTGAAGATATATGTGGGAGCTATATCTAAATTTGAACCAATTCACACCAGTTGCAATTGGGTTTGTCTTTGGGCCAAACAAATATTGTTTGAAAATTTTCATGTCAATCGGACAATAAATGCCATCTGCATTTTTTCAGAAAAATACATAGACAGACAGACTGACATGCATAAGCCGAGAAGACTCAGAAAGTGATTCCATGGAGATCCTCAAAAGTAACTATGGGTCTATATCGCTTCCTATTCCATCTTACAAACAAATGAACAGAGACATAATACCCTTACCACTATGTGGTATAGAGTATTAAAAATAATGTTGTCGCACAGTGTAACTAAAATATTCAATTCAATGTTTTTATAACCTCCAACATAGTACGTTTGTCATTCCGTTTGTAACAACTCGAAATATACATTTTAGACCTCATAAAGTATATATATATTCTTGATCATCATAAAATTCTATGTCGATTTAGCGATGTCCGTCCGTCTGTGGAAATCACCCTATCTTCCGAACGAAATGAAGTAGGTTAAAAAAAATTTTACTCAAATGTATATTATGTCTGCAGAGCTATTGGTATTAAAAAATGGGCTATGTAGGACCATGTATGGCCCCCATATAATGGTACCTCCCAATTTTCGATATTTTATTCTATGTCTGTGCAGGTCCAAGTCTTATATATTAAGTAGCCCCCATATAACGGTACTTCCCCCATATAACGGTACCTCCCGATATTCGGTATTTTGATGATTTTAGCGAATATATTCACCGGAATTTATTTATTTAGTCATAATGGATACTACAGCCTAAGACAGAAAATTGTCTGTGCAGGTCCACGTCTTCGTAGAGCTCCCATATAACGGTACGCCCCGATATTCGGTATTTTAATGATTTTATGGACATTTTCACCAGAATTGTTTCAAATTTGGCACTTGAAGTTCGTAATGGATACTACAGCCTAAGACAGAAAATTATCTGTGCAGGTCCATGTCTTCGAATTTTGATGATTTTAGCGAATTTATTCACCGGAAATATTTCAAATATGATATTTGAATTTCAAAATGGATACTACAGCATATGACAGAAAGTTGTCCATGCAGGTCCACACCTTCGTATTGCCCCCATATAACGGCACCTCCCGATATTCGGTATTTTGATGATTTTAGCGACATAATTTACCGGAATTATTTCAAATTTTGTATTTGAAGTTCGTAATGGATACTACAGCCTAAGACAGAAAATTATCTGTGCAGGTCCATGTCTTCGAATTTTGATGATTTTAGCGAATTTATTCACCGGAAATATTTCAAATATGATATTTGAATTTCAAAATGGATACTACAGCATATGACAGAAAGTTGTCCATGCAGGTCCACACCTTCGTATTGCCCCCATATAACGGCACCTCCCGATATTCGGTATTTTGATGATTTTAGCGACATAATTTACCGGAATTATTTCAAATTTTGTATTTGAAGTTCGTAATGGATACTACAGCCTATGCCAGAGTTGCCTATGCAGGTCCACGTCGTCGTATAGACGCTAATATATGGCTACCTTCGGTATTTTTAAGATTTTAACAGAATTTTTAACGGATTTTATTTTGGAAAATTGCCAAATTTGTATCAAATGGTGGAGGACATTCAAATTTCGGCCCGGCCGATTTTATAGCTATTTTACTTGCGTAATTTCCAAATAAATTCCAATTTTTCCGAACTTAATGCTTTTTTACTTGTTTGGCATTATTTTTGTTGTAAGGAACATTAAATACGGAGACCTTGCTCCTTGAAGCTTAACCTTAAGGATAAAGTAATACTTCATAATCGTTCGCTCATTGATTTTAGTTCCTCGAACTACATGCTACTGGCCTAGTTAATGTGCACTTTTCAATGAATCTTTTGTGAACTGAGGGAAGTGAATGACCTGCATAGTAAATAACTATGTGAACTAAAGGAACTATATGAACGAAAGAGTTGAATATGGTTCCTATCACAGAGTGGTTTTTTGAAATAATTCCTTTGGGAACTGCACTTTTTTAAGTTGGCAATGTTTTTAGGCTTTCAATTCTAAAGTTTTCCATTTTTTTGCTAAATTCCACTAAATTCTATGCAAGCTTAAAATACACCCCTCTGAAACACTCCAGATCCCACAAGGCATTACGTTTTTAACAATAAATTAAAAGCTATTTTTAAGTATAATTAAGATTTAGTTTAAAAAGTCAAATTAACAAATTATTAATACGTTTTATATACAAATACAAATAACCTAATATGCAACTACATATGTTACTCTTAGAATAGAATGCAACTCTGTTGAACTAAAATAATGAATAATGGTCGTGGATAGATGGCGTTGCGGTACTCTAATGTTTCTTGTAGTTTATTATAATAACGATTTTAGAGATGTTTTTTAAAAAATATTTATAAACCCAAAAATTTTGAAGCCATTTTTCAAGAGAAAAAATATAGATTTTTACTCAAATACTAAAAATAAAAGTATTAGGGTAATATTTTTTATAAAAACTGTATTTGGTCTTTGGATGGGCTAGTGCTGTATTTTTTCAAAAATACTGAGAGCTTCCAATGTTTGGAAAGGAAAAAAATTGATTTTTAATAAAGTTATAATAAATTCAAAATGCCAAATTCCAAAATTGTTCCCGAAACTAAACACTTGTGACTTGACTTCCTTTGAAAATGAAGACTACGTTTTTTACTAGCACTTTTTATAAACCAAAATTTTTTGTACCGCCACAGTCAGTAATAGACGGTTTGGAATTGCTTTGTTATCTAGAAAGAAATACTGAAATTCAGAAAAACAACAAACAGCAACAATATACGCGAAGTCAGGGATTGAGAGAATAATGTTAACATTATTTTTGTTATTACATCACATTTTTTTGTTATTAATAAAATAAAATAAAAATTATTAAATTATATTTACAATAGTTAAGAATACAACAAGAAATTACATAGTTAAAATAAATACACAACAAATTAAAAATATAAAAATAACAACAAAACTAGTAAATCAAAAGTACCTAGAAAGTATAAAAAAAGGAAAACAAATGTTTCTTCAAAGAAAATAGAATAAATCAAATTTCTATAACGAAACATAGGATAGACAAACTTCCGAAATAACCTTTAGAGAAAAAATTAAATAAAAATTATATTTAAATTAAGAAAATAATAAAAAAATAACTGTTAAACATTATTTAAGTTAAGAAAATGCAAAAAATTCGGCGAACTCTTTCAATGGCCTATGAAAATTTTCATTTGCCTTGGGGTCCCCCTGGCCGTCAAATCAAATTATAGAAATGCAGTATTAAATAAAAATATAAATTTAAAAATAAACAAAAGTATTGTTTTGTAATACACTCAATGATGCCAAATTATCCCAGATTAATAAATATAAAATAAGAAAATATAAATAAATATAATTAAAATAATTAATAACAAAAGAAATATGAAATATATATATATTTATATGTTTTATATGTGTTGTAGCCATAGTTAGTGCCATAGTTTAACAAAATAATATAATAAAAAAAATAAAACTAGTTACAATTAATAAAAAACATAACCCTATTGTGTAAAAAAATTAAATTAATTTTATCAACTCCTTGTCAAAGGAATTTAAAAAAGAAAATAAAAATAATAATTTTTAACGTATTGTGATATTTTGTTCAATTTTTTAATGACGAATGTATTTGTTTTTTTGTTTGTTACCAAATGTGAAGTTGTATGTATGTATGTTGCATGATTTGTAGAATGTATTGTTGGTTAGTTACTTAAATAAAAAAAGAAATTATAATAATTTATGTGGAAAGTTTGTTAATGAATTCTCGAAAAAATAAATTCTTGAAAGTAGCCAATGCTTTAATAGGTCGAAATATTTTACAATTTAATATGCTGTATTACAAAATTAAGAGGTATTAAAATAAGTTACTAAATTCAAATTTTGGCAAATTCAAAATAGAAATTTCTATCAAAAAATATAATTTAGGAATCCGTTTTCAATTATTCAAGTATGAAGAAAATAATTAATAAAATAATATTTATGGATCCAATTTAAACAATGTAAGGCTACTCCGAAAATTGACCTTCAAGTCCAATTCGTAATTTAGCCTTTATATTAAATTTTAGGTTTTTTTTTGGAATGTACCAGAAGAGCTGCGATGAATTTGTTAATACATCTCGACTTTAACTGGTGGAAAGTTTACACCAATTCTTATATTCCCATCATTTGAGTTTTATGGACATATAAAGTTTGTAGTCAAAATATATCTATGTGAAATAGTGGCATAAACGTTAAAGAAAACCTAAAACTATTAAAGAAAATTCCACAACCATACAGAGCCTGTACCCATGAGCCTTATCATAGGCAAACATTCGTTTACATTGATGAAATAATTCAAAATCAAATTCGATTGTCAATTTGGACTTTTTCATATCAAAGTCGATTTCAGATTTTTATTATGTCTAGCTTTGGCAATAGATAGATTGATTTTAGAAAAGAAAATTCTAGTATAAAAAATTATAATTTTATGAATTGTCGCGTCGAGATAAATTATCTCGAAATAAAATGAAAGCCGATAAAAAATTATAAACACAAAATAGATTAAAAAAAGTTAAGTTAACGATATCCAAACTTTTCAATGACAAAAGTCGGATTATTATTTTTATAACCTACAAAACTATGTGTTGGAGGATTATATGTTTGATTGGGTCAAAAATGATATAATACTTCGAAGTATTGGTCCCCCACATACGAAACTATATATGTATCTTCCTTTATCACCGAGCTGAGTCGATCTAGCTATGCATGTCCGTCCGTCCGTCTGTTCATGTTCATGTTTGTAATCAGTCTACTGGTCGCAATTATGGCCCGATCCTCACGAAATTAAGCACTGAGTTGGGGCTGGCGTCAGAATAGAAGCCAATTGTTTTTAGAGATGATCGCATAATATTTAGGTTGAAATGGATCAAAAACAGACATATTTACTGAATTTCAGTTGCTCAATTAATCCAATCGACGTGGAATTTAGCATGGAGTTAGAGTTGCCGGTCAGAAGCCTACAATTTTGTTTGGATCGGCATCGGACAATATTTACCATATTCCCCTAAACCTAAACCGAGAATATTTTTGGAGATATAACAAATGAAAGAAATTTTCAAATCGCAATATTTTTATTAACCCAAGGTCTGGCGATAAAATGGAATATATCGCTCCACTCCTTCTAGTACCTACCTCGCAAAAGGTCGAATTTAAAAATATATATATTTTCTGCACAGAAAGAAAAACGAAAAATCTGATCTTGCTCCAACTTCGCAAATCCTAATACTTGCATCAGTTCTAGGTCTGGTGTGAAGGCTACGAATAACCGAAACACTTATTAAATTCAAAATAAGCATCCAGTTCTCTTCATTTTCGAATATGCCATTATTTCTACTAACACAAGATCTGCTGTGAAGATCGGATATATCGGTCCTCTCCCACAAGGGCAAATCTCAATATTTCCACCAATACAAGATCTAAGGATGGTAGGGATCGGGCCATTTCTTCTGGTAACTCCCCCATAAAGAGTCAAAATTTTTAATAACCAAAACTTTCATAAAATCCGAAATAAGCATCCGGTTCTCTATAAATTTCACAAATGTTATTATTTTTACCAGCACAAGATGTGCTGTGAAGATCGGATATATTTGTGCACTCCTTGTGGTACTTCCCCCACAAAGGGTTCAAAACTTGGAAAAAAAAAAACACTCAAAGAAAGCTAAATAAGCATCGAATTCTATTCAAATTTCACACATCCAAACATTTTTGCGAACGCAAAATCTGTTGTAAAGATGATATATATCTGCGAACTCCATCTGGTGCTTACCCCACAAGGGGTCAAATTTTTAAATAGTTATAACTCTCATAAGACACGAACTTTTCAAAAAAAATATCAAATATCTCATATAAAGTGAAGGAAGTAGTTGATGTAAAATCCAAATCTGATAATTAATATTAATATTTTTATAACACTTATGTCAGATTTGAAATGGAAAATATTGGCCCACTCCTATAGAACCTCTCCTATGAAGGGATAACAGTTTAAAAAATCATAACGCAAGTCGAAATATATTTAAATAACCGGACATTGGCTGAGGGTATGCAGCTGTCGGCAATACCGACTGATTCCATTTTACTTGTTTTACCAAATTTTTAGTATTTTGAGTTATCAATATGTAATACCCCTACCTGAAATAGATATGAATATGAGTCCACGATTTGGTATTGACCTTGAGTTTATTTTCAGTGTTTTCCAAACGATTTGAAATTAAAATTTAAATACTAAATTGCTAAGTGGCTGCCTTAAATCTTCTTCTTGACGTAACTACCGATGTTGGAATGGATTCATACATCAAGATGATTCTGCAATGTAAATTCTTATGATTTTCATGCATTTTAAGGACTAAGTCAGCAAAGATACGCGGGTTCCTAAAAATCGGCTGCTTTGAGTTCTATTAGTTGAAAGAGTAATGGACAAACCTGAGTTTTATTTCAATTGTCCCTAAATCTCGATTTTTTTATGGTCCGACGTGGTGCTTCACGACGAACCAAAAATGTTTCATTTTGGCGAATTTATAGTCTTGTGAGGTATTGAGAAACTTTATAACGCTTTCGTATTTTGGTATACTCCAAATTATTTCGATTACAAATGGCCTTAAATAAATATTACGAAATGTATTGAGGAACCTACGTTTCAGGATTTCTTTATAAATTACAAATAAAAAATTTAATCACAATGAAATAACTTCAAAATACAAATTAAATTTCAAATACAAATATAATTGAATTTACAAATTATCATTATATAATTCAAATATTTTATATTATAGTTGAGAACATTTAGACAATTCATTTAAGAACTTTCCACAATAAATAATGTTAAAATATAAAACCTGCATTAATTAATGATAGAGAAAAAGGAATAAAACGAGGAAATCATATAAATGTGATGAATGTTGTCTTTATTATTAATGTTTAGTCCTAGATACGTACCTACTATACAAAAAAAAAAAAAAAAAAAACAAAGATATATATTTACACCACTACCAACCGCCACCACAATAACAACTACAGAACATATACCCAGAGAAATATAAACATATATTTATTTATTATAACAAAATAAATAAAAAAAGAATTATACAAAATAAAACGAATAATGTAATGGAATCAAATCAAATATTTATTAACCTACCTAGAAGAGATATTGTGTTGAAACTTGTAACC